TCAGGTTTTCCTCTCCTGAAAATCCAATAAGTGAAGTCTTTATTGAAGTCAGCAGAATTCTTATTACTGAGTACAAGAGTACTACTAGATCCTTCCCTGATATCTACAACTGAAATGACAATTTTTTCCAGGGATATTATTTTTAATGTTGAAGAATATGGTTAATCTTTGCATTTCTACCATGATAATTCAGATAAATTGCTCTGTAATCTTCCCTCACAGCTCTCTGCCAAAGCACTCTTGTAATGACCTGCCAGAGCCTTCCTTCTTCAGCTAAATCTTCCTTATGAACAGACTGTAACTCGCTGAATTATGACTGATTATATGACTGTTTTCTGATAAGGACAAATACTCAGGAAGGATTTAAGATGAAGCAAACAGACATTTTCCCTTGGGATTCCAATCAGGATTAAACTCAGTGAGTCCAGGCTATAAGGAAAGTGCATTAAAAGCTGTAGGACATCTCCAGATCTGCACTGTGTCCTCCTTACATTGTTTACAAAATTTAATCAGAGAAAATTCTGAGAAGATACTCAGTAGTTGTTTGATTTAAGATCCCAAATAAAGGAACGGAATGGGAATTGATTAGACCCTTTTCTACAGAATTTGCTTTTAATTTCCTTCTGTGTTATCTTAAAAAGACAATCTGTAATACAAGAAATCCTCTAATGAACAGGTTTTTGTTGTACAAGATTGCAGCTGCCCTCCACTTTCCCTGACAAGATAATTGCAGTTGAACAGTGTGGAAGCACCAGAGGTAATAAAACGTTGCATTCCTTGAGGCAGAACCAGTATTAATTACAAATGCAATTAATGACTGACACACCTTTACATTTCTGGTACTGCACATCCCTGTTGCACAACATTCTGTTGTACAAGAATATAATGAGCAACATGCCAACAACATTGCTTATTCGTGTGTAAAGAGATTGTTTGTTTCCCCTTTCTTTCCCTGCTTTTTAGCTCGTCTGGACCATGCACCCCAATCCAAACCCATTAGCATCCATTCCAGCTGGAGTGCTGTGAAGGAAATCTTACTGCTGCAATGTCTCCTGTGTCCAAGCAGCCGTGCTGCTGCTGACAGCATCGTGGTGGCCAGCCCAGGCACTGCATGAACAGCAGTTTGGTGTAATCCTGTGCAGAGTCCTCAGGGCATATTTATGTGCCTTGAAGCACGAGTTCCTGTCTCTATGGGTGAGCCTTGTGGCTTGTAGAAGGTCCTGTGGGAACCTGGGTCACCTTCATGACCCATGTTAGACTTAGTGCCAAAGTATCCACACTTCTGCAGGGCTTTGTTTCATCACAAGAGGCTGTAGGTGTGATAAAGCAGTGGTGGTCGTTAGATCTGGCTGCCTTTTTAAGCACCTGAAATGGGTCAAACTGCTCTTTTTCCATATTGCAGTCAAAAACCAGCATTCCAGCATTCCCCAGTCCCGAGCTGTAACAGCATCTCTCACATATCTCTGTTTCTTTACCCATCACAGCTTTTCTAATGCAAGTGAACCTCCTGGTTGGCTTAGGAAAAGCCTGAAATGGGGGGTTAGAGCCCTGAACATCAGGTCTTCCAGCAAAGTCCAGTAAAATGGCATTAGGAGTAAGTGTCTCTCTGTGGCTCGAGGCTACTTAAAGTAAGAAATCAACAGTGTGCTAATAAATAAAATCTAATGAAGCATCAAATATGTAGAAAAATAAGTGATGACAGAGGCAGACTTTTGTTCCCTGTTGTTTCTAACCTCTCATGGAGCAAGGGATGAGTGGTCACGAGGTGGCCTTGGTGGCCACTCCCAGGTGCTGAGAGCCAGATCTGTATGACCTGGTGGTATCAGCTGCTGGCTCAAGTGAACCCCCTGCTACGCAAGGTCCATCCCTCACTGCAGACATTTCCTTCCACAAAACACAAACACTGTGGTTGCTCTCTTCCTAGTCCATCCTGTCACTCCAAGATGAGTCACCTTGGAAGGGGATGGAAGGCTCGTGGGGCAGCTGCCCAGGCTGCCAGACCTGCCCCACACTCACCCGTTCTTTTGTTTTCTTACCTTTGAATTCATGTTCACTAAGGTTAATTTTTAAATCTGTTTTCTGAGGTTAACACTGAAGTTTCATTGGTCATGACACCACAGCAGTTTTATGGGAGTAGTTTGTGGATGAGTGATTTTATACTGAAAGATCAACTTTATGTTTGCAACAAACCATTTCCTACAGACAGTTCCTTTGCTAGTTTTCCCTCTTATTTTGGTGAAGGAAATAAAGCTTCTGCTCATCTCACTTTGTGACACTCAGTTAATTTTGTGTAAAGCTTCCTGGCAGATATCACAGGGAAATATTTTGTATTATTTGGCATCTGTTAGTTTTATGGAAATGGTTACTTAACACTGCTCATCTGGAGGAAATGATTGCAGAAATACTACCCAGACTTTCCTTTATTGCAAAGATTCGTTGCTTAAAACTGAAATGACTTTGATATGACCCTTTAGAAGGAAAATATGTGAACTTCTCATCCAACTATTTGTTTTCTTGCTGTTTTGTTGTGTTTATTTTTTTTTAATTGTATTGATCTGTGATGGTATAAACTTGTGACTCCCCTCCTCCAGGGCATGCACAGCACACCCTTCTACACTGTCTCTTCCTTCAGCACTACATTTGGGTGTTGGGTGGTGAGAAGCTCAACATGAGCCAGGACTATGCACTGGAGCCCAGAGACCACCCGTGTCCTGGGCTGCATCCCCAGCAGCGTGGGCAGCAGGGCCAGGGAGGGGATTGTCCCCTCTGCTCTGCTCTGTTGAGACCCCTGCAGGGCTGGGGCCAGGGCTGGGGTCCCCAGCACAGGGAGGACATGGAGCTGTTGGAGAGTCCAGAGGAGGCCACGGAGATGATCCCAGGGCTGGAACAGCT